TTTAATTATTGTTCAAATAAGATAAGACAAGATTTGAAGGCAGCAAACACACTGGGCACCAGGTTCTGGGTAGGTTTGCAGTATTTTTAGGGTACTTACCTGGTATGTACTCTATAAGTACCAGGTAAGTGCCCAGAAAGTCACTTCATAATACACCTTTGTACCCATAAATATCAGCCATGTAATATACATGGTATGCACCTTTAATGTACAAATTACATGCCAAATATGTACAAGGTACGTACTTTATTAGTACCAGTTACTTACACGGCACATACCGTGTTAGTACCAGGTCTATAGTCACTACCAGGTAGGTGTTTGGTAAGGACAAGGCCATGTAAAGTACCAGGTACTGTAAGTACCAGGTATATACCCAGTACATACACAGTAAATGTCTGGTATATAACTGGTAGTTACAAGGTACTTTTTTTGGTGTGCACCAGGTACATACTAAGTGAGTACCAAGTACATACCAGGTTAGTACAAGGTATGTACTCTGAAAATACTAGGAATGCACCAGATACATATTCAGTAGGTACCCATTAAGTACATGGTGCACACCTGGTAAGTACCAGGTGCATACCCAGTACGTACCCTGTTTGTACCAGATGCATACAAAAATTGACCATTTAAGTTACAGGTATGTTTCTGGCAAGTACCAAGTACATACCTGGTACCAGGCAATCACCTTGTAGTGACCCTGTGTGTATTAGTTGCATACTTGGTTAGAGAAAACTATGTTCACTGTAAATACAAGGTATGCATCTGATATATACCTTGGAGTTACCCAGTAAGTACATGGTGCATAACCCAGTACATACCCTGTTGGTACCAAATGCGAACAAAGCATTAGGAATTTACCTGGTTAGTACAAGTTATGTAACCTCTAAGTACCAAGTATGTATCATGTAATTACAAGATACACACTAGAAACATATCCATATCTACAACGTACATACCTAATAAGTACCAGATACATATAGAGTATGTATATGATAAGCACCTTGTAGAGAACCTGTATGTATTTGGTACTTACCTGGTTAGTACAAGTTATGTAACCTGTAAGTACCAGGTATGTATCCTTTAATTACAAGATACACACACGATACATATCCATATGTACAAGGTACATACAGTATTTACCTAGTAAATACCGGGTAAGTACCATCTATGTACCAGGTACATGTCTGGCCTAAAATCCCCTTGAATTTCTGAACTCAAAGATAAATGTAGTATTTTCTAACCCCCTGATCGTTGACACTTCCACCTTCTCTGCTGCACCTGCAGATGTTAGTTACGCAGTTCCAGACTCGGGGTACTCGTGGAGCGAGTCGGATGCTTCAGAGGTTTCCGGTAAGTCGTTTCACCTCTTTCTAAGAATCCGGTGCTCTCTTACACCTTGTGTCTGAGTAAAACGCAGCATGCTCACGCGACCGATACCCTCTGGTATCTGCCGACCATGTTCGTGTTGCTCCATGTGGGAAGTACATGCAAGCCGTCTCCCGTGACAGTGTTTACATGCCATCTGCCCGCCATATGAGGGCTTCTTTGAAGTGTAGAAGAGGAGCACGGGGCAGGATATTAGTGCATGTGCAACTGTGCCAAGAGGCTGTTGTTTTCATTGGTTTTGGATTGGTTGGGAAAGATTTGTGACCAGTCCTGACCATGAAAACGCGGTTTTTCACCCTAAAGTTTCTTCCACTCTAACTGGTTTCATAACATCCTCCTCCAGCTCGGGATCACAGGCCTGATATCTCAGATTATGAGCGCTGGTTGTATAGCTTTGGACCGTACCGTAAGTGTTTTTTTGTTTCATTCTATAGCTACTTTCTGGGCACTAACAGGTTGTTTTTCATCATATGAATGTGTCGGGGTTGCACACATGGAAGAACTGCATGTACAACTTGACATTATAGCTCATCTCTTTAAGTTACTGCTGAGWTACGAACATTAAAATGATTGATTCTATAGTTGATATAAAAAAGGAAACTATATTTGGTTTGTAGCTGCTGCCTTTACAGTGACTTACAAGACAAGACACAAAAGGGCAGCACAAAGCCGTCACTCTAAGATTACATGTTAGCCTTCAAAGCCTAAGGTTTTGGGTTTGAGCTATTCTCAGAAACCACCACAAAAATATCAACAAAAGAAGACATTTAGAGAGAGAAGAGCAGGATCTAATGTTGTTTGAGGTTCTTGTGTCACAGTTTGCACTCACTGGAAGTTGTTTTGTTACTTRCAGCCCCCAGATCCACAGACTCGGACGGCAGCCATAAATCGCCRCCGGACCCCGGCCACAGTGAAGGTGAGCATCGTATTTTTAGATCTTTCTTTAAATGTCACTTTCCAGGGTGGGATAAAACAACTTACTGGGTGCACAAGTTTGAATTTATCATGGATTAAATACCTAAATATAAACACACACCCCATTAATTTGGGCYGATGTTTCAGATTTTTGTTCCCGGGTCAGCCCAGAGACATAGGGACTGATTTATCAACACTTAGCACATGATAAACACGAAAGCTGARTTATTAACGGTGCGCAGCAGGGACTTGCTGCAATCCATAAATACGCAGAATATGTGACGATTAGCAGAACGCACAAACTACTGGAAGGATATGCAGATGCAAACATTTTGCACTCGTAGTGATTATCAAACCGGYAACTGGTCGCGACCAAATGCAGCCACGGTGGCAATATTCAAATTTTATCTATTTATTTATTTAAATAACACAATGAAGACAAACATTTTAACAACTGTGCAACATTTCAAAAACAGAAACAAACGAAGAGAAGGAGAGAGAAAGGAGAAATATAAATAAATAAACTGAGCTACTAAAATAGGACAAAATGTCACTGGTCTGAATATTGGTGGAATTATGAGTAATTTGAGAACTGGTAATTAGCAAGTATGGGCTATTATACACAAAATTTAATGAATGAAAAAATAATGAATAAAAATAAAGAATAAAGAAGTGAAAAGAAATAAATAAGCTGGTTGAAGGGGCAAATAAATAAAGACATATCAACCAAAAACAAGAATCAAAAAAGTTGATAAAAATCCATTAAATGCAAAACGTGAAACAAAAACAAAAGTAATTTTATTTCAATTAAATCAGTAACTAAAATAATCTGTATATGTTGTGTGTAAGTTAATAACATTAATTTGAAATAAGTATAAAGAAATAAATAAAAACAAGGGCAAAGTAGGTCCATAAAAAATCTSTGTTGTGTTTTTCATTGAACTCTTTAAGAAGGAGAAAATAGTTAGACCAAAAGTCAAATTTGTACCCTTGTTTCTTCTTTTTAAATAATCCCAGAAGCTGTGGAATGGATTCTGGAATAAAAACATCAATAAAAACCCAGAATTCATGCCCCTGATGACAGGATGTCAGTTTCTGCTTTAACTTTATAACTGCTTCTGCTTTAGCTTTCCAGTTATGAAAATAGATGCAATAACTTCTCATTTCAACAACTTAACCACTTTTTTTTCTCTGTTTTAAATCATTTACAAGCTGCTCTGTAGTAAAAACAAAAACATGCTAACGCTGAGCTTATCATCCGTGCAGTGGAGCCAGAGGATGTCTGGAAGCCAGAAGCGAACCCGTATGAATCAGGTAACACGGCTCTGCTCGCTCTGCTTCTCGTTTTCTCCTTTAAAAAGAGTCACTCTGCCTGTAAACCCTCGGTCCTGACTGCAAGCACGATCCAAAACCGAAGCTATCTGGGGTCAGGACTCGGGGTTTTTAGACTCYGTCTGTAATTGAAGGGAGTTGGAGTGAAAGTCGAGCGGCTCAGTTTCCTCCGGGCACAAAGTTTGTAACAACAAACGCTGACCGACATCTGGGACGGCTGCAAACGAGCTAAACAAACTTTCAAGCTGATGTTGCAAAAAATAAAAAATAAAAAAAAGTGGTCTTTTTATTGCTCCTAGAAAGTAATTTTCTTATACAGTAAAAAAAAAAAAAAAATTAACGCCGATTAACTTCTGTTCCAATGAATTTTCTTTGCTTCCAGGTTTCAGTGTCAGAGAACCAGATTCGGTACAAAGACCACCTCAGACCGCACCACAGTCCCAGGGAGACCCCAGTACGTCCAAACTTACGCCAACTTTTAAATTAGCTTTACTTCAATTTGTATCCAGGATTTAGGTTTAGAAAGGCAAAAAGTGTGTTTAGGTATGCACACCTGGGATTAAATCCATATTCAATGATTTTTTTTCACACTTGATATAATATTTTTAAGTCCTTTTTACCCTGAGGGTKCCTGAGCTAGAACCAGGTTCTTGTGTTTGATGGGTTTAATTTAGCTTTTCTTTTAGCGCAAATAATTTTAGTTTTCAAGCTTTAATACCAACAAGATAACTCTGAGATGAGAATTTTGATTAGACTGCAATAAAATGCATATTTCATTTTTAAATGAGTTGTACTTTTTAAATAGAAACAAATGAACAGATCTGAAGAAATAAAGTGGCATTAGCTTAGTTTATTTTTGACCAAATCCAATTTAAACCCTGATTTCATGTGATGTGTCACACATGATTGACTATTGTCGCCATTTAATGAGACTAAAAGCCAAAAACTGTCAACTTTAACAACAGATAAATATGTCCTCTCAGTTGTGAACCTTTTGTTTAACTGGTTACATTAACACTGTCGCCTCTGAAGCATCATTAAGCTACAGTTTTCTGCAGATTGTAAGGTGGACCTTGCCTTCCTGATGGACGGGAGCTGGAGCATCGGGAAGCGGCGCTTTAAGATCCAGAAAGACTTCCTGTCTGAGGTGGCTCAGGCCATCAACGTGGGCGTAGCTGGACCCATGATGGGCATCATCCAATACGGGTAACCTCCCGTCTTTTCTGCTGCGTTTGACAGACGATGTGCCGATGTGACGGTTTGTTTGTCGTGTCCAAAGCGATGACCCCGTCACAGAGTTCAGCCTCAGGACCTACTCCGGCTCCAGGGAGGTGAAGTCCGCCATCGAGAAGATCGTTCAGAAAGGAGGCCTCTCCAACGTGGGTGAGTGACCCGCACAAGCGTGGAAGTGAAAAAGATGCAATCGTGGCACGGTTTACTACCCAGGCACGTTTTCACATGAGAGGATAGAATTAAGTCTAAATCTGCTGGAGAGCTAAATGACACGTTCCGCTCTGACCAAAAAACTTTGGCTCTTTAGCAGCTCCAGGGGGTCAGCTTTCAGGGAGCGAGGTCAGTTTTTGCAGCTTTGGTTGGTTTGTCAGCGTCTGCGGACTTCCACTCGGGCTTTATGAGCTGCTAAATTTTGTCTGCTGATAGAAATAGAGCGTGTGTTTGCTTCTGGTGCTCTGTAATCACACAACAGTGAGTGATTGTGAAAGCCTCCATTATCCCCAACAGAGCCTCTGCTGCCTTCTGCAGACCACCAACAAGACAACGAGCTGAACTAAACAAGCTGCAGTTTCTGTAAACATGCAGTGAACAACCGCTGAAGCTGAGGGGTTCAAGCTAAAGGCAGAAAAATATTAGCTAAAATGCAAGAAAGCAAACCTAGATAAAAGCAAAAAAGCAAAACATTACATAAAAATAGCTAAATGCTAGCTAAAAATGCTAGTACAAAAAGACTAACAGTAAAAGGCTAGCTAAAAAAGGCAACGGTAGCTAAAAATTAAAGAAAGCAAAACTTGTTAAAAGCCAAAAAAGCAAAAAGGTTAGCTAAAAATAGCAAAAGGCAAGCTAAAAATAATAAAATTGTAGCTAAAAGTATCAAAAGGCTAAGTAACAATAGCAAAGGCTAGCTAAAAGAGATAAAATTAGCTAAAATTTTGTAACTAAAAAGCAAGCAAAACATGTTAAAAGCAAAAATTTAAAGGTCAGCTAAAATAGCAAAATGCAAGCTAAAAGTAATAAAATGCTAGCTAAAAGTATCAGACAGCAAGCCTGAAGTAGAAAATTACTAGCTGAAAGTATTAAAATGCTAACTAAAAGCAGCCAAACACTAACTAAAATGCAAGAAATCAAAACTCCATAAAATCAAAATGTTACCTAAATAGCTAAATGCTAGCTAAAAGTATGAAAAGGCTAAGTAACAGTAGCAAAAGGCTAACAAAAAGAGGTAACAGTGGCTAAAATGTTGAAGCTAAAAAGAAAGAAACACTTGTTAAAAGCAAAAAAGCAAAAGYTTGGCTAAAATCAGAAAAATGCTAGCTAAAACTAGTAATATGGTAGCTAAAAGCTAAAAWCATAAAAAGACTAAATAAAAGCCTAAACACAACTACACTAAAATCATAAAAGGAGTAGCTAAAAGCTAAAAAGGTAACAGATCGCTGAACATGGGGCTACCTAAGTTTAAGTACTGAAAGGGTAGCTGGAAAAAACAAAAAGCTAAAATAGTCGCAATAGTCCAAAAAGCCAAACAAATCAATATGTTAGTTAAAAACAAAATTCGTAAAAGGCTAGCTAAAATTAACAAAGGCTATGTAAAAGCTAAAGTAGCAACAGGCAGAAGTAGCTAGCTAGGTGCTAAAATGATCAAGGCTAACGTGAAGCTAAAATTATTAAAAGTCCAGCTAAAACCTAAAAGTAACAAAGGTCCACCTTAAAGCTAAAGTTGCAAAAGGGTGGTGACAAAAGTTTAGCTAAAAGCTAAAAGTAGCAGAAGACAAATAATAATTTTGCTGAATCAGATTTCAAAGTAAACAATGCTTTAGTTCTATGGAGAAAAATCTTTGTAAATAAAGTTAAATATTTCAACAATTGCAAAACTTACAAAAAACAGAAGTCTTATAATCAATTTCTTGAATGAGRTGAATGTTTTAGCACACGATCAGCTGAAATAGTCCAAACACACAACTCTTTCATTCTCTGGTCTCAGTCACATTTACTGCAGCAGTTAACCGTCTCTCTGTCGCCCCCTGGTGTCCTGACAGGAAAAGCCCTCTCCTTCATCAACAAGCAGTACTTCAGTGATGCCAACGGGAACCGAGGAGGAGCCCCCAACGTGGCTGTGGTCCTTGTGGACGGCTGGCCCACAGACAAGGTGGAYGAGGCGTCCCGGCTCGCCCGAGAGTCTGGCATCAACATCTTCTTCGTCACCATCGAGGGGCCCGACGACAGCGAAAAGCAAAACCTGGTTGAGGCCAACTTTGTAGACAAGGTGGAGTGTTTGGCACAGAGACATCAGAGCTTTGAAAGATTAAAGGTCCCCTCTTGTCTGGAAAAATTATGGGGTTTTAATAAGTTTGGACAAATCCTGGAAACAATATTGTGATTTGGAGTAGGGGGCAGTTTGGGAATGACTGTGGTGGCCATCTTGAATTGGGTTGTCTTCAYTCTTTGTCTTCAATCTTTGATGTTTTGTRGATTGTTTTACCTCCCAGGCTGTGTGTCGGACAAACGGCTTCTACTCCCTCCCAGTCAACAGCTGGTTCGCCCTGAGGAAGGCCGTTCAGCCCCTGGTGAAGCGGGTTTGCGACACGGACCGCCTGGTGTGCAGCAAGACCTGCCTCAACGCCAACGACATCGCCTTCGTCATCGACGGCTCCAGCAGCGTGGGCACCGGAAACTTCCGCACGGTGCTCCAGTTCGTGGCCAACGTCACCAGGGAGTTCGAGATCTCGGACACGGACACCCGGGTCGGCGCGGTGCAGTACACCTACGAGCAGAGGCTGGAGTTCGCCTTCGGCCAGTACAACAACAAGGCCGAGCTGCTGAACGCCATCAAGCGCATCAACTACTGGAGCGGCGGGACCAGCACCGGCGCCGCCATCACCTACGCGGCGGAGCAGCTCTTCAGCAAATCCAAACCCAATAAGCGCAAGATTATGATCGTCATCACGGACGGGCGTTCCTACGATGATGTAAGGGCACCTGCGGAGGCCGTCCATCGACAAGGTGAGAGGTCAACCGTGGCAGAACCAACCTGGTCTTTTTAAAAGTTGTCCAAATCCAACCTCAAGTGATCAAAATCACAAAAAACACCACCATGTRATTAATTATTAAACAAAAAATAATAGCAAGGAAGAATGGCATTAGCAATGGCCTTAAAGAAGCAACCGTTGCTGCTTATCTATCTGGGAAGGGTCAAAGATCAAGTCCAAAGCAAAACCTAAACCCCACATGTGAATACAGAGAAATAGTTTTTGTTTCTGTCTTGTGTTCACACAGAAATTGCATTTTAGGAGCCTCAAAATAAAAACGGTTTTCTTGAAAACAGGTGTCAGAGTCATAGAAATCTTGACCCTTTCAGCTTAAAGTTAAAGTAGCAGTATAGTAGCTAAACATATCAAAAGGCAAAATAAAAGCTAAATCCAAACCGTAACTAAAAGCAGGAAAAGATTAACAAAAAGCTAAAAATGCCATAGTAAAATATAGTGAACAATCTAAAAAGGTAAAGTAGCAGTATGGTAGCTAAAAAAAATCAAAAGGCAAAATAAATCCAAAACAAGACCGTAACTAAAAGTAAAAAAAAAAAAAGGATTAGCAAAAGGCTAAACATGCACAGTCAAAATTAGCAAAGGGCAACCTTTAAGCTAGAATAGCTTGTGTTTTTGTGTTGCTATCCAAAAGGAAAAATTTTGAATTTTTTTTCTTATTTACATTTTTCTTCTAGCATGTTCCTCACCTTGTTTCCTGTTTTTAGTGGCAGAGTTGCAGCGCCACATACAGGCCTGGCATAGTTACTACAGCATTTGGAGGTTTCCATGTGGATGAAGATGTTTTTTTAAATGATGAGAATATTTTTCAATGACAAACAAAAACATTGTTTTGGGGAAAAAAAGTGTCCGTGTGGACAAAGACTTAGATTTGTAAAGTTACATTTGAATGTAGTGGTGGACATTATTCCGCTGATCAACTAGTGGAACAAATTTTTCACTTAGCATATTAGCTTTTTCAATAACTTTGAAAACCATTAGCAGACTAATTAACTAACACACTAATATCAACATGTGTCAATGACAAGTCTTCGGCTCTGAGACAAAGATACATGATGCAGACTGAGTGACAGTATTGTTAGCAATTAGCTGTTAGTGTTAGCTTTGGCTAAATTAGGTTCTGCCAACAAGTTTGATAACAGCTAACTAACACAACTAAGGTGCGATGCAGACTAAGTGGCAGTCATCTTAACGGTTAGCAGTTAGCTTTTAGCATTAGCATCCACTCGTTTATTTACGTCTAGAGGCTTAGCATTAGAAAAGCTAAGGTTTTAGTTAGCAAATTATTAGATAGTCAAGCTAACATTTTGGTTAGCTGTGCCTACCACTGCCTGAATGAACCAGAAGATTTCTGGGACAAACCTTTTAGGACACAAGACCGAAGTTGTTTTGTATTTAGTAAAAACTCTCTGACGGTTAAAGTGTTTGTTTGACATGTCGAGTGTAACCTGCCGTCCCTTCCTCTGATCCAGGTGTGATCGCTTACTCCATCGGCATCGCCTGGGCGGCCCAGGACGAGCTGGAGTACATCGCCACAGATCCGGACAAGGAGCACTCCTTCTTCGTGGACGAGTTCGACAACCTTTACAAATACGTACCCAAGATCATCCACAACATCTGCCAGGAGTTCAACTCTCAGCCCAGGAACTGAGGCCGGAGGAGGGAAGGTGTTGGAAAAGAACAGAACCCCAACTGTAAACTTACTCACCCTGTTGCCCAGATGGTGCTCTTGGACTGGAAGCAAGGCCACATATTTGCAAAGGAAGGGGTTAGAATTCTGGAGAGGACTGTGGATTTTGGATATAAACAAATAAAATAAATGTATTTCTCCACACACTGCAGGTTGTGTTGCTGGTTCTGTAGTCCGGACCCGTTAAGCTAACTGTACCAACAGATCAACCTTCACAAATGGTTTCTAAATGTATGTTTTATAAACATCGGCAAATAATTTACACCATTTTACAGAACATTTTCTCAATATTTAAAAGTTTGCACAACATCTGGGATGACATGCATTAACTTACGCTTTTTTTGTGTGTTTTGATTGACAAGTTTAAATGAAATCAAGGACTTTAAATCTCCAACCACAATTCCTACAGAGAAATGTGAGTTTTAGTCATTATTGCCATCACTTTTTTAATTTCCAGTAGTGGTTCCTTCTAACGTTTCAGTATTTATGATTTATTCTTCATTCCCGTTTGTACATATACTTATTAAAACGTTTTTATTTTATTTTTTTTGCTTGTATGGTTTCAAATAATCTTTTTATTTTAAGCAGTTTTTAATAAAATATAGAAAAACTGAAGAGAGTCGTTTGAATTTTTGGTCAACTTATTAGGATTTTCAGTCGAGGACTCGGCAACCTGAGTGAACAAACTGGACCTAAGGAGATAAAATGGAGTCATGAAGTTTGTTAAAAAAAATTTTTTTTAAATGTAATAAAATTTTTGAAACTGAAAAACTATTTGAAACAAAACAAACAAAAACTTTAAGAAATTTGAAACAGAAAAAAATACATTGTACACTTTGTTACAACGGCCTACCCTAGATTTTAATTATTTGATACAACGGCCTGCCACAATATTTGATTAAATTATAAAATGGCATGCCATACACCATTCATCATTGGATTCAACGGCCTGCCATAATATTCAATTATATGATTAAATGGTATGCCATACTTCTTTCATTATATGATACAGCAGTAAGCCATACATTATTTGATACGACCTGCCACAGTTGATCATATTATGAAACAGCCTGCCATACTTCTTTAATTATATGATACATCAGCATGCCATACTTCATTATTTGACCTGCCATAAAATTTGATTATATGATAAAATGGCAATGGAATAAAGTCGGGCTCGTTTCCGGTGAGAGTTGGACTCCGCCAAGGCTGCCCTTTGTCACCGATTCTGTTCATTACTTTCATGGACAGAATTTCTAGGCGCAGCCGAGGTGTTGAGGGGATCCGTTTTGGTGGCCTTAGGATCGCATCTCTGCTTTTTGCGGATGATGTGGTCCTGTTGGCTTCATCGGAACGTGATCTGCAGCTCTCGCTGGAGCGGTTCACGGCCGAGTGCGAAGCGGCCGGGATGAGGCTCAGTGCCTCCAAATCCGAGGCCATGGTCTTGAGCCGGAAAAGGGCAGAGTGCCTTCTCCGGGTCAGGGGGGTCGCCCTGTCTCAAGTGGAGGAGTTTAAGTATCTGGGGATCTTGTTCACGAATGGGGGAAGAAGGGAGCGGGAGATCGACAGGCGGATTGGCGCAGCGTCTGCTGTAAAGCGGGCGCTGTACCGGTCCGTCGTGGTGAAGAGAGAGCTGAGTCAGAAAGCGAAGCTCTCGATTTACCGGTCGATCTACGTTCCTACCCTCATCTATGGTCATGAGCTTTGGGTCATGACCGAAAGAACGAGGTCCCACATACAAGCGGCCAAAATGGGTTTCCTCCGCAGGGTMGCTGGGCTCTCCCTTAGAGATAGGGTGAGAAGCTCGGTCATCCGGGAGGGACTCAGAGTAGAGCCGCTGCTCCTCCACGTCGAGAGGAGCCAGTTGAGGTGGCTCGGGCATCTGGTAAGGATGCCTCCTGGACGCCTCCCTGGTGAGGTGTTCCGGGCACGTCCCACCGGGAGGAGGCCCCGAGGAAGACCCAGGACACGCTGGAGGGACTATGTCTCTCGGCTGGCCTGGGAACGCCTTGGAGTTCCCCCGGAGGAGCTGGAAGAAGTGGCTGGGGAGAGGGAGGTCTGGGCCTCCCTTCTGAAGCTGCTGCCCCCGCGACCCAACCCCGGATAGGCGGAAGAAAATGGATGGATGGATGGATGATAAAATGGCATGCCAAACTTTTTAATTATGAACTGGTGTGCCACACTATTATTTGATACAATGGCCTGCCACATTTGATTATATGATGAAAGGGCATGCCATACTTCAGATTTATGATACAATGGTATGCCATACAGCATTATTTGACATGATCTGCCATAAAATTTGATTATATGATACAACAGCGTGCCATACATATTTAATTATGATCCAAGTCGTTTGGAATTATATTTTATTAGTTTCAAATCATTTTTCTGTTTCAAAAAATTTTTAAACAAACTTTATGGCCCTAATTTAGCTTATTTTTTCTTTTTTTAAGATGTTTCACCATTTCTTCATGAAAAAGATGACAGACTTTTAGCTGAGAGGCAAAATCATCTTCCAGTTGCTTTTCATTTAACGGTTTAGGAGCATAAAAACCGATGAAGAACATCATCCATCTGTTTATCATGTACAGTGTATCATGATTTGCCTTTCATCACGACAGACTGGAGCAGCGTCCTCATTACTGCAGAGGGACTGTGGTTAAAAACAGCTAAAGTTTCCAGATGTGGGCTAACCTGTCAAACAGACCAACATCAGCTAAACATTTTACAGCAGGTTTTATTTTGAACATACTTTCATATACAAACCAGTGACTGAGAAAATGGCTCATGTAAAGCTATACTCTCCATGTACAACTTCTTTTTTTTTTTCTTCTTTTTTTTAAATTCCTCAATTTACAGTAAACTGGAACCGCAGGACGTTTGTCTCCCATCGAGTGCTGGAAGGTTTAGCTCATTTTGCAAATAGTCCTAAAAGTACTGCACTAATTTCCTGCTAAACACCACGGGACTACTGTAAAAATCATGATACATCACATCGTGGTGGAGCGCATCCACACGGCTGCCGGGGGAAAAAAACAAAACAAAAACAAAAACAAAAAAACTACAGACAGTACACCGCATTCAGTTCAAACAAGAGCAAACTGGACAAAATCTGTTAGTTACTCCTAAAATTGACATCAAGTCTGATTTATTAATTATAAAACCAAGATGGTTTACTTTGGACATGTTTGTAATCTGAAGTGTACACTTGAATCTAACAAAACAAGTAATACATTTAATGTCATCGGACCAGCTTTGCTCTCAAACACACAGAACTGATTTCCCCCCAACCGCACTCAAAAGGAAAAAAAAAAAAAAATCACCCAAACTCGCGCCGCACAGTAAATTTTAAGACTGAATATATATTTTGTTTATTATAAGCATTTGTAATTTTACATCCAATGTTAAAACGAACAACATTGCGACCCCCCCCCTCCCCAAACGCTCTGATTCTCCACTTCCCTCCCCCCAAAACAAGCTTGTTAAAAGAACATTTTAAAGACCTTTTTAAAGCAAAGGCACATTTTGTCAATAGAGAGTTTAAAAAAAGAGAAGGAGGAATAAAGGCAGGTCAGCAAGCAGAGTCAGTCTGGGAAGCAGACCCACTCCTGTGGTTCTGGAACTCAAAACCTGGTTTAGAGGGGGAAAAAAAAGGGGGGGGGGGTCTGGACTTGGTTTCTCTAAGAGGCTGAAGGGCCTGAGGGAACTGTGGATAAGCAGGGGGAGGAAGAGCGGGGCCACTTGTCCTGAGCCTCCTTTCTGTGGAGGGTAAGTTTTAGTCTGCAGGGTCTCACCCAGGCCTGCCTGGATGGTGGGTGGGGGACCAGAGACCAGTTCTCCTCCTGACCGGACCCCCCCTCGCCCCCTGCCATTCCTCTCAAAGGAGAACAGCCTGCTGAAGGCTAGCGGCTACATAGTCTGCAGGTCTGACAGGAGACCGGTGGGCTGTGTGAAGTGGGACTGGACCCCCTCCCCTGCCTGACCGTTCTGCCCCCTGCTGAGTCTCTATTGGTCCCTGATCTCGGGAGACAAAGCGAGGCTGTGAGGGGGGGTGGGGGGCGGGGTCAGGGAAGGGCGGCGAACAGGTAGCTCCACGTCATACAAACACCTTAGCGAGCGCGTCGGCCCCGGCGCTGGCGATGTAGCACTTAGACGGGTGAAACGCCACGTCGTGGATGGATTCCTCGAACTTCTTCCTGTGAGCCGTGAACTCCTGGATGCAGGTTTTACTCTCCAGGTTCCACAGGCGGATGGAGCAGTCGTGACCTGTTCAGAGGAAGAACGCATTCATTTTTTGCACCGTTTGCATGGGTTAAAGCAGAAAAAGATCTTTTGACAAGTACACAGTATAGTATACTACTAACACTATGCACTGTGTACATCTCCTTAGTCAAAGTACACAGTATAGCGTTCTCTAAAGAAGTGTTATACAAAGGCTAATATCTTGTCAATTTATTAATGATATACTGTACAATGAAGATATATATATTGACGATAGATAATGGTATAATGATGACATATTGACAATATTTAATAATGATAAATGACGATACATTGACAATACATGACGACATTTTGACAGTACATAATTACGATGTATAATGATGATATAATGACATATAAAATGARGATGCTTACTGACGATATATGACCTGTACCTTAAAGTTCAACAGGATATCAAAGTCTTTTAAGCCAAGATTGAATATAAATATCGTCCTGGTTGCTGCTGGACAGATACTCACTGCCTGACATGAGATAAAGTCCGTTCGGGTCCACYGCTAAGCTGGTGACAGCGTCCAGGTGGGCCACCATGGAGTGAATCAGCTTCCCACTGTTGTTGTCGAAGAACTTGATGTGTCTATCCTCCTGCGCCGTGATGGTGATCGGGAGCGTGGGGTGGCTGAGGACTTTGTTGATCTGACAGGGAGCGTCTGGTTTGAAAATAAAAAATTTTAAAAGTTTACAACATTCTACCTTTGGTCTTAATGCTGCTTCGATCCCTACTTTCTGAATAGGTTTTTTAGTCACTTTTTGTGGGCGGGGCTTTACGCTTTTCTCACAGTACAATTCAAGGATTTTTTAAGGATTTCAAGCACCTGTATGAACATTTCAGCTCAGTTCAGTTTCACCTGCAGACTCACCTGGCTCCAAACCAGATTCCAGACTTAGGACCAGCTGGCGGGTCTCCATGTTGAAGAGACCGATCTGGCCGTTTGTGAAGGACGTGACCAGGTGAGCGGGTTCACTGCAGACTAGGTCTACAGAGGAGGGAACGCCCAGCTCTGGAACAGAAACAGGACACTATTTAATCCTTTAATTACAAAAAAGTGCAGGAAGGTGGTTGAAATTGTGACAAAGTTGCGCACGTTTGTTTTCGTTGAAAACGGCGAGGGCGGGGGAGGTGGTGTTGGCGTCCCACAGCCTCACGGTGCCGTCCGCGGAGCAGGAGAGGAGGCGCTGATGTGCGCCGCTGTACACCAAACCCCAAACCGAGTCCGTGTGTCCGCTCAGCTCTCCACGCAGCACCGATGGGTCTGCGGCAGAGAACAAACCAGGTCACTTTACATTCTGACTCCTCGAACCTAAAGGAAAACGCGGCGAGTTACCGTATGAGTCGTAGGGATCGATGTTGGGGTTGGGAGTGTTCCAACACTGGATGGTTCCGTCAACTCCCCCGCTGAAACACTGCTCCCCCGTGCTGCTCATCACCACACTCAGCACAGCTCCCCTAGAAGAAATATTAAGGATAAAATGTTACATCMACGCAAAATTAAAAACTAAACCTCGATTTGTGTAGTTTTCATTTTTACCTGTGAGCTCTGAACGTGTAGATTGGCTCCACGTCTAAAGACGTACTCCTGCAAACATTAAAACGAGTTAATTCTTCACGTTCAACCTGTTCTTTATCTTAAAAAAAATCTGCCAATCGTTTTGTGTCTGTGTCGCATTCTTACTTTTTGGCGGGAGCGGTCTTTTGCAGGTTCCACATTTTGAGGGTGTGGTCCTCAGACGCGGTGATGAGGACGGGTTCCACGGGATGAAAGGTCAGAGCGCGGATCCCGTCGAAGTGACTCCGCAGGGTGAACTTGGGGTTCCACGTCTTCCTCATGGCGTCCTTGTTGTTGCCGATCTGAGGACGACACGTCGGAAACTAATGTTAAACCTGCAGCTTCGCGAATCGCAACCAAAATAAGCTGAAACTGAGGATTTTGAATAGATTTTTTAAACCCTCATATTATCAGGATGAACAACCTTTAAATCCCACAGAGTTAAATATGTAGATCGAGCCTAGACTCAAACTTACGTTGCTTTTCATTCAACTTTGTAGAGTCTAAAATTAGCCGTTTGAGTTTTCAGCTTGTGAACGAGAAATTAACAGAAAAATATATTTAATGACAAAGATTTGGAAATCTTTGTGAGATATAATAGAAAACATCAAATTCAACAATATTGAGAGAGTTTTGCTGGAAACCCCTTAAGTTTTTATCCCTCCAGTTGTAAAAAAAAACATTACAGGAATAATTCATCTATATGCAGATGACAGTGTGGTGGTCTTGAAGCAGATAACTTTCACATATTCTAGATTTAATTGAAACTTTTTCCTTTCTGGCAGGCAAAAACTATTCCAAATTCCCTTGAAGGTTGTATATTTATACTTAAGAGCCCTAACATCAGAAAATGTTTCCTCTAATGACAAATATGCTGCTTGCAAAAAGGTGCCATAATGAGGAAATATATTAAATTAGAAATACTTACAGTGGATGAGAAGATTGACATCATTTATGGCATTTTTACYATTACTTTTGAATTAAGACTGCAGGGACTGTTTTGAAATAGACGAGAAAGATGGATTAGACCATAATTTGCCTAAAGTATTGCATCCCTTTCCTTTTTTTTTCAGGGGGGTTCTACAGCTTAAGTGGAGTTAAATTTAAGACTTTTTAAGACTTTTTAATGCTACTCGAAAGGAAATTTAAGACCAAATTCACAAAAACAGTTAGCGACAATTATACCTAAATGTTTAATACAAAACAACCAGCTGTGAGAGATATTTGGTAAACTATTTTAAAAAATAAATAAATGTGAACAGTTATTTTAATACATTTGTTGGAGAAATATGTAAATGTATGATGTAAGAATTGTTGCTCAATGAGTTAAACCTTTGTTTTTCTTTTTTGTAAATTGAAGAATATTTTTGATTAAATTTATTTACTTGAGAAAAAGGGGCAGATACTGTATAATAAGATTTTTTTCTTCTTCTGCTACCTTTCATTTAATTTAATTTATGATTTGTATTTTTATTGTATATTGAATTTATGTTGTTTTTAAAGAAATTAATAAACTCAAATAAATAAATAAATATTTCAGATGAATTACAATCATCCTACTTACAATATATAAACATTTTAAAGACCATGGAAAGATTTCTTTATTTAAAGGCCTTACTTTTGATTAATTCAACGCCTTTTAAGACTTTAAGGATCCGCAGGAAACCTGTTTTCTTAAAACTACAGCCGTGCACCCCAGTGTTCCTMTTCTTGATGTTTTGTTTTTTATAAAAGTAGTTTTTCATTTAGGAAAGGAGAATCAGTCATTCTTATCTTCAATGTTTAAAATGTTATTTGTACAGATGTTGAAAGTTGTAGCTGAACAAACATCTAACCCCTGAAAGATTAGAATAAAAAAAGAGAAAAAGTAAAACGGCAGGCTTACGTCATACGCCAAACTGTCGGCCTCGTTGGCGACAGTGAGCCCTGCCAGATCCCCKAGACCCAAAACGTTCTCCATGGCCTCGTCTGTGCCGATGATGAAGGACTTTCCTGAGGTGGGAGGGAAAGTGAGRGCCTCAACTGTAGCGGGGGGGACAGGACAACAAACGGTTACAAACTGACATTAATACCAGCAGAAATGAGTTTGTTTATATTTTTCCTGAAGCACCTTCGTCCGGTCGGTTTCCATCGTGTTCATTGAAGCGGGCCACGTTGGGCCGGGGCTGAGGGGCGGACGGGGGCTGCATGTGGGACAAGTCCTCTCCATCCCTCAGGTTAGCCAGCATATCTTGCAGCTTGGACCGGTTGGGCCCTGGTTAACAAGTCAAAAAGTCAACAAATCTGACCCGCAGCGACAGAAAGCTAAGAAATTATAAAAAAAAAAAATCAGAGCAAACAGAGAAAATTGAATGGGCTACAGAAGGAAAGCAAAAATAAAATATAKGAAGAGGATGAAAGGCCAGCAGCAGAGTCCTGAAAGGTAGAAAATGAGTTGAGGCACATTTATCTTAACAGGTTGACTGTGTGGAGAGAGAGAGAGAAAAGACAAGATCTTTTAACACAGATCTTCCAAAAACAGAAATTCCCTCCACACAATCACCAAAGTGATAAAGCACCAAGAGAGCAGAAAAAAAAGAAAGAAAGATAAATGTGTTAATTTAGAAGAGCAGAAAGCAAAGAGTGTAAAAAAAAGAGGTGCTGGAGTCGAGTGCGATGGAGCAAAGTTGTTGATCTCGTGATCAATCGCAGCAGGAAGCAGAGCTCGTGTAAAAATCTGAGTGGTAGTATCCTGCTGAGTCACGTCTCAGAATCACAGAAAAACATCTTTTATTAGCTACTGATTCCTACCAGCAGCTGAAATATAGTCCCAACACGGCTGACGGGAAAGAATAAAGATGGTGTTGGTTATGTTGTCACTAAAAGACACAGAAACAGATGACTATAGAGACTATGGCAGCCCAGATGGGACACAGATGGTATCATCATCGCTGATAAGTGTCACATGAATCTCTGAAAGATTACCAGCATGGATGAGATGATGGCGTGAGTGAAGAGGGGGGAAAAAAGGAAATAAATGGGACAAACATGCATCGAGCGTTAAAAGATACAACCCTGATCCTGAGAACGTCACAACGTTGTGTCAAAACGTGAATAAAAACAGAACGCAATGATTTGCAAACCTCTAAGAAACAGTCAGTTACACTCATATTCCTTCCCTTTCTGTGGAACAAGACAAAAAATAAAGAAAATAAAACTAAATTCTTAGAATTTTAGGCAAAACGGACAAAATTATTGGCACTTTCAACTCGATTTTTGGTTGCACATCCTTTGGAAAATCAATAAAAATGATGAAATCCATCACTTCCTTTAATCATCAGTTACCTCTTACACCTCTCAAATGGAATTCTGGATCAGTCTTTATTCACAAACATCTCCAGTTCTCTCCTATTAGAAGTACACCTTCTGCCGATCAGCAGTTATAAGAGCTCTCCACATGGGTTCAATGGGATTTAGCTCCAAACTCACTGCTGGCCACTTCAGAACCCTATTGACGTTTTGCAGATATTCAATATAACGATTCTGTTCAACACTAATTTCCGATTCCGATATTAACCGATATTACAAACCGATATTAAGGTGACAACGCATATCTCCTGTCAGGGACATTATGCCTGCTTTTACTGTGATACCCCACTACATTCATTCCACAAGTCTGTACAAAATAAAAAACATTTCATTGAAGTTAAGAAAAAAGTGCCATATTTATTTTTAACATTTTATCTCAAACAATGGTTTGGACCATGCTCTCCCTGAGATAATCCAGTTTGATGATGTCATCAATCGCAGACCGGTGAACGACTCTGGAACACAAGCATTTATTAAACACATTTTGGTAAAAACCCAGGCATTAATTTATCGGGCTTTTGTTATCAGAAGGAAAATCGATGCAGATTTTACATTTTTTATGCTAATATCGGACCGATAACATCTGTAGGCCGATATTGTCGGACATCCCTAATTACGACCCAAAATCCTTCGGATCTTCAGAGGTGGCAAAACAACCCCAAAGCATCTTTGGACCTCCATCTTGGTTCAAATCCCGGCCCTGAGACCTTTCTGGGTAGAGTTTGCATGTTCTCTCCGTGCATGCGTGGGTTCTCTCTAGGCACCCTGGCTTCCTCCCACACACCAAAAACATGATTGTTAGGTTCATTGGTAACTCTAAATTGTCCCTAGGTGTGAGTGAATGGTTGTTTGTCTTGTTTGTCTCTATGTGTGGCCCTGTGATGGACTTGTGACCTGTCCAGGGTGTACCCCGCCCCTCGCACTGTGACAGCTGGAAATGGGCACCAGTGACCCACGCGACCCTGAAAGGAAGAAGCGTGCACAGAAAATGGATGGATGGATGTTTTGTTATGATCCGTTTTGAATAAAATATAGGATTATGAGGTTTTTAAATCATGGCGTTCTGTTTTTATTCACATTTGACACAACTTCTAAGAACTTGGGTTGTATTTGGGAAGGGGAAGCACTCAGGAGGATCGAAGAGGTCAGAGAAGCCGGAACAAGGAAATGAGTAAAAACAATAAAAATGTTCGGGCTTTGATTCGAGGCTTTTTCGGCRGAACTCAGAAAAAAAAAAAAAGGTCAGGCTCAAAGAGAGAAGAGGGAGGGAGGCAGCAATGCCTTACGGGACTTACTCTTCACCCCCTTTTTCCCCTTGCGCTCCTTTTTGTACTGCTCCTTGAGCTTGGTTATCAGGCCCGGGTCCACGTCCCAGGCCTCAGAAATGGGACCCTGGTCGTCTTTTTCTACACAAGAGGAACAAAACCAGACCGAGAGGCTGTTTGAGGACCTCTCTTACTCTGCTGGAGGGTTTCTCAGACCTTCAGGAGAGCAAGCGGGGACGTTGAAAAACTAAAAGCAGCACTCAAAAGCCTCTCCTGATTCTCTTTATGGTGTATTTTCTTGAGTTTGATGCCACGTGTTGCAATAAATGTCTAAAACATCGTGAAATTTCATTAGTAATCTAATACTTTTCTGCTCATGAATGACTTCAAATTTAAAAAAAAGGATTTTTTTCAGGGATTGTGTCTGAATGAGTGTGACTCAAAGGGAATCAGGTTGATCTGACGACAGGAGTGGAAACACATTGTGGTCTTTGGGCTGGATAAATGGGGACACACAGTGAAGACAGATTACAAAATATATGATTTAAACACAGAGACGCTCCCGTTGTCGTGAGTTATGACCACAGCATGATCGATGAATGACACGAACTTCATGAAAAGTCACCAAATAACTTCAACGCTTAATTATGGGATTATTTTATCTCGACCGACACGCGTCTTACCCCAGTCCGTGCCGTCTCCGGTCCCTCTGGACTCCGAGGTGTCCATGTTGTCGAGCGGCAGGAAGTCGAAGCTCTTCAACGCCTCCTCCGTGTCGGGGTCCTCGCTGGTGTCCATGCTGGCTGGCAGAGACGAKGACGGGGGGTTCTTTCTCATGATCTGCGCAGACAAAACATAAACAGAGAGAAACTGAACACTGGGAATACTTAATGCTGAAAGACTGTTGCTGAACGCTGCTGAAGAAGATGAAAAGGTTTGATAGCAAAACTGTTAATGCAAAAGTAAGAAAACAAAAGTGAAAAATTATAAATTAGCAGAAAATGGTAAAAGAATATGAAAACAACAAAAAGTAGCTAAAATTAGCAAAATAAAGCTAAACGTAGATGTTAAAATTAACAGAAAGAGGGATGAGAAAAATTTCCAATTTGAAAGAAAAAGAGAAAACTTGGAATTTGTTTTGAAATAGCTAAAAAACCTGAAACTAGCCTAAAAAAGCTTAAAAAGTGGCTGAAATAAATTAAATTAGCACAAAGAAACAAAGAGATTGTTTGTTAAATTAAACAGTAAGAAGCTGAAATGATCCCAAAAAGATGAATTTAGCATAAAAAAAGTTAAAAACAGCTGAATTTAGAGAAAAGGTAGCTAAAAACACAAATAACGGTCGACATTAGAAAGCAGCAGAAAGAAAAATAAAAAAGTTTGAATTAGCAGAAGAACAGCAGAAAAGGTCAGAATGATAGCCAAAGCTAAAATTAGCACAAACAAAAAAAGCAGCAACGGAACAAAACATAAAAAGTTCGGTAAAGATTTATGAACTTTTTAATGGGTTTAAGGATGTTTGAACAAACTTCATTCATTTTAAACGAGAAAAAAAGTCAGAAAAAGCTAAATATCTCAAAAAGTATAAACTGCTGAAATACTAAAAGTCACTGAAGGAGCTGGATGTTTTATCTTTTACAAAAGTTGCGAAACAAGTTTCGTGGAGAATAATATACGGACAAAAAAAGGATCTGAATTATCGTATTTTAATCGCGCAGCAACAGTTTGGAGCTCGACTGCGTTCGAGACGATGAGTTCCTTACAGTCCTGGATTCCACGTTGGTCCTGTCTCTCCCCTCGCTGTCCTCCTCCTCGTCTTCGTCGCTGAGCTCAGCCGCCGCGTGCTCGATTAGTTTGAAGGCCTCCAGGACGGCGCTCGTGTCCGAGAGGTCGGCTTTCCTGCAGAGGCGTCAACACACAGTTAAAATCTGGAGACACTTTTGTTTTTAAAGCACAAACATCATAATCTGTCCCGTCAGGACTGATACTCCGCTCACCCCTTGGTGCCCTTTGTTGTCGAGTCCGTCCCGTTGACCAGTGGCTCGGCGCTCATCCGCTCGCCCGTCTTCCCTCCCCCGTCCCCGGCGAGCCCTAGCAGAGCTCGGACTCGTTGGGACTTCACATCTAAGATGGTGTCTGTGTAGCCCACCTCCTGCAGGTACCTACAACAAAGAGATTAAACATGTTGAAGACACCTTTCACACTTATATCATCTACAGACTGATGGGATTACTGAAGGTCCTCCTCCTGTTCCAAACACAAATAAACACCRTAATCTGGGGTGTTCATTCAAGCCAAGGGCCAATTTATTATAAATATATMAAATAAATTCTTAAAGGAATACAAATGTTTCTAAATTAATTTTTTTTGTATCATTTAGCACCTAACGAATAAAAACACCCCATAAAACTATTAAAGACTATCAAGAAATTTTTAATTTATTATATCTTAAGAGAAAAATTTGATCATAATCCAGCAAATCATGTTTAAAACCCTCACTAAAAATCCCATTTTTTACTTTGAAATGAAGAAAATACAGTAAAATATAGTTAAAGTGGATTCTCTGTTACTCTTTTCGCACAAAAATCGAAAATTTACTTCATTTTCTCGGCCAGCTGTCATTAAAGAAAAAATGAAACCATAAAACTATTTTACATTTTAAGCATCACTTTTCGGGCCTCGAGCTCTTTGTTAATAAAAAGCTAAAAGTTTTAAATGGTAAGTTAGGTTCTACATATATTTAAAGTTTGGCTCATGAAGATAAAGTGCTGATGGTCAAAATTTGTACCATTTCCTTGACTTAGTTTTAAAGTTTTTTTTAATTATGCTTAAATCTTTTCATGTAAAATAAGTTCAAAAACAACAGTAGAAACTATTTTTGCTATCTCTCCTAATAAAGGAAAGTGTAATTCCTCAGGATTCGGTCTACTTGACATCACCAGGAATGCTGAGACGAGATGAGCAACTCATCAAGTATTTCCTGAACCCTGAGGCAACGGGGGAACAACCTCCAGCAACTTGAGCGAGTGAGTAACCAAACAGGATTAGATGTTTCTGCACATTTTTCATCTATTTGTTCARCCAGACTGGGGCAGACGATGTGTGATAACATCAGAGCCCAGGACTGAYGAGGTAACGACAGCAGCTGCCCAGCAGAGGGAGCTCTTCACCATAGTTTATTTCAGGACTCTGGTGCACGGGAGTCCATGACATAAAACCTGTTAAATAAACAAGTTGCTATACAAACTGGATTTGTTTTTTGTTGATGGTTTTCAGYTTGAAGGCAGACGTTTGAATTTGCTGACTCACTGTCTGAGGAGCTGCCGGCCTTGTTTCCAGGACAGCTGARTGTTGAGCGATCCAGAAGTCTCGTTCTCGTTGGCCTCGTCTGAAGYAGAGGAGGACACAAATCAGGGCTCCGTTTACAGACATTGTTTCCACCGTGTAAACACGACAGCAGCAGCGCCCGGGAAACTAAACCTTCTTTATCACCTCAGTGAAAACAAACGACAAACACAGCTGAAGAGTGGACGGTACCGTCCCTTTAAACTGATTTAAACATTAAACCACTGTTTTCTCATGGGGGTTTTCCTCTGCAATTTAGTTATTCCTGCTTACTTTGTATTTTATTAACAAAAATATTCCTTATGAAATAAATCAAATCGCCTCAATAAAAACAATCTCTTTAAAATGTTTCAGCAGACAGTACTTGGTCTAAATTTGTCTCCTAATGCTACTATTAGCTAGTCTTTAGTTGCTTTTACCTACACTTCTGTTGATTTTAGCTTCTAGCTAGCCTTTTGCTACATTTAACTTCTAGCTAGCTTTATGTTTTGTTCGTTTTAGCTAATGTTTGCTCCTTATAACTAGTGTTTGGCTCATTTTAGCTAGTGTTCGGCTCCTTGTGACTAGTGTTTGGCTAGTTTTAGCTAGTGTTTAGCTCCTTATAACTAGTGTTTGGCTCATTTTAGCTAGTGTTTTGCTTCTTGTAGTTAGTGCTCGGCTCATTTTAGCTAGTGTTCTGCTCCTCGTAAATAGTGTTTGGCTAGTTTTAGCTAGTGTTTAGCTCCTTATAACTAGTGTTTGGCTCATTTTAGCTAGTGTTTTGCTTCTTGTAGTTAGTGCTCGGCTCATTTTAGCTAGTGTTCTGCTCCTCGTAAATAGTGTTTGGCTAGTTTTAGCTAGTGTTTAGCTCCTTATAACTAGTGTTTGGCTCATTTTAGCTAGTGCTCTGCTCTTTTTAGCTAGTGTTTTGTTCCTTGTAACTAGTATTCGGCTCATTTTAGCTAGTGATTTGCTCCTTATAGTTAGTGCTCCGCTCATTTTAGCTAGTGCTCTGATCATTTTAGCTAGTGCTCTGATCATTTTAGCTAGTGCTCTGATCATTTTAGCTAGTGTTTTGCTCCATGCAGTGTTTT